CGCTTCCCAAGCGGCGCACTTATCCAGTGCGCCACCGGGCTGGCCCAACTAGTAAAAATTTTTAAATTACACATTATAGGGCTGGCCCGGTGGCGCACTGGAGAGTACGCTGCTTGGGAGTGCGGCGGCGCTCCCGCCGAGGGTTCAGATCCCATGTGGAGACCGGTTCCCACTCACTGGCTGAGCACGGTGCGGGCGCAACACCAAGGGTTGCGATCTCGTTGCTGGTCCCTGGTACGGGCGCGACACTGAGGGTTGCGATCCCGTTACTGGTCAGTAAAAAAAAAAAGACAAAAATGAAAAAAAAAAAAATTACACATTATAATGTGGCTCAAATTATATGTCTATTGGACATGCTGATCTATACCTTAATGACCTTGGACAAACTTGCATAACAACTCTGCACCTCAGTTATCTCATCATCTGAGCGTGGCACTTAAAAACCCGGTAAGTGTTGTCTATTGTGATTACGATTAAGAATTCTGCAGCCTTGTAACAGCAAGGTTTAGGGTTCAGATCCCCATATTGGCCAGCTGCCTTCCTCCCCCGCAAAAAAAAGAATTCCAGCTGCTAAGTAAGGTGGTGGTGGGGGTGAGGAACAAGAGAGGTGCCCAGAGATGGAGGGGCCAGAGAAGGCTGAAGTGGGTAGTAAGAAATGGAGGAGGATCTCCAGGGTGGTTATCATAGTTTTCTTTTTTTCTTTTTTGCAGCTGGCGGGTCCAGAGATCTGAACCCTTGAGGCTGGTGTAGGGTTATGAGAGGAATTACTGGGGTCTGGTATGCCACTGCCAGACTTGTGAGACAGAATAGGGCTAGGCTTGTGAATAAAACTGACTCCATTTTCCCTGAAGAGGACACTTTGTTATTTTCAACTCCTGAGTCACGAGACCCCCAGGGTGTATGATTACCCCATGGCCCTCCCTGATACAATAAACTGAGATAAGAGAGGAACAGATATTCACTGAGTTGCAAAACCCCTCTCCAAGGCTTGTTTCCCATAATTGTAAAAATTAAGTTAAAGATTAACTTTAAGACCCTTTTAGGAGTTCCCACATAGGCACAAAGCTTCAAGACGACTGCTAAAATGACCTTCCTAGAGTGAGGATAATGAACACCACCAACATCTTGGACAGGCACAAGGTCCAAAGCCCTAACTGAGCAACCAGGAAGAACAGAATGGACCACCTCCAGAGGCACAGAATGATGATGCTGGCCTGCTCCCCTTAACCCCTATAAAGGACCCTGAACAGCTCCCCTCAGAGGGCTAGCTTTTCTGTAGCTACCCCCCGACTCCTTACACATAAGTCTATCTCCTCTTTTAATAAAGCATTGCTTGCTTCACTGCTGAATGCATTGTTCTTTTCTATGACTTTGGGACCCAAGAGCTTAATTCGGTAATGTTTCGACATACATGGTTGTCACTGAGGGAGCTGACCCTTGGCCGAGACCCAGCAACCATCAGCAGGGAGTGTCCAAAATGCCTACAGTTTGGCCTGCGACCTGTTCACCCTCATCTTCACCATGCAGAATCCTTGCAAGCTTAGCCTTGCCTGTGTAAACATTACAATATTATGCTTTGTCAGAAGACCTCCTTGATAACACCCTCACAATATGAGACCATCAGTAAGACACTGAACAATGTGCGATGAGCAAAAATGGTACTGCGGGCGGGGTACAAGAAAAAAACAAATGTCATTGATTCCTTTATAGTTAAGGAAGGCTCCACCCCAGATAAAATGGAGTTTCTTTGTAACTCTGTGAGGAAAAAATGCTAGGTGGTAGGAGTTGTTGCCAAAATAGCAACGGTAAGATGATAAAGAATGTTCTCACAGTCCCTGTGTGATCAGAAGACTCAGATATCTTCTGATCTACTACTCTACTACCCCCCGGCTGTGTAGTCTTTGGCAAGCCACTTTCCTCTGGGAGCTTCACTTTCTTAGTCTGCAAAATGGGAATAGAATGAAAGCTGCCTTGCAGTGTTATTTTTAGGATGGAATTAATATAGGTATGTATTTCTGCTGAAGTAGTTTACAAATGAAAAAGAAGAGTAATAGAAAATGGAATGAGAAAATAGGGAAAAGGGAATGTTACAGCTTGAAAAGGCAACCAAGCAATCTTTGTGCTACGTGACCCTTGGCATATGTCCTAGTCTTCTTATGTATGGCCCCCCTTGGAATATGTCC